CCTAGTCAACCGTTCTCTTAGATTTGTTTTCATGATAATCGAATGTAAAGAGTTTTATCTCTAAAAAAATGTTTAGTGTACAATGCTTGTAATGGGGGCATTTACTAAGTAAAAAGAAATCGCTAGTTAATACCACTAACAAGACTCAAAATAGCCCCACACTAACACAGTAACATAATGAGGGTCCGTACATGCAAAACGAAGCATTGAGAACTTTGTAAGTGTACAGACCGTTTAATAAGACAGTTCACTTTGTGTAATCCACGAACGTCGTTCATACAGTTCAGAAGTTTACTGAACTTCATACAGTTCAGCTCACTAAGCACGACGTTTGTGGTTTAACTTCTTGTGACTGTTTTCCAAAGATGGCTCCTGCCTGTATACACGAAGTGAACTGTCTTTATGAAGTATCTTACGGTCTGTACACTTACAAAGTTTTCAATGCTTCGTTTTGCATGTAGGGACGCACATTATGTTACCGTGTTAGCGTGGGGCTATTTTGAGCCTTGTTAGTGGTATAAACTAGCGATTTATTTTTACTTAGTAAATGCCCCCAGTACTAGCATTATACACTAAACAGTTTTTAGAGATAAAACTCTTTACATTCGATTATCATGAAAACAAATCTCAGAGAACAGTCGGCTAGTAGGCTACCAATGTTTTATTAGACCAAAGGTTCATTTTGCGCCGGAGTTCTCCTTTAAGGGTATAGGGTGCGATTTTGACCACAGCTTTTATATAGTCCGAGTTTCCATTGTGCCTCGTCTAGCTTTGTGTCGATATATAACCTGTTGTTTGTCAAGTCATGTTTTAAGTTAAGTTTTCCAAGTCTACAGTTTGTATTTTGTTATCACACCGATAAACTTCACCTGGGTTCTCGCTTTCAACTTGCCTTCAAGGGACATATTACAACTTTTGTGTTTTAAAATTATTTGTGTACATTTTTTTTTCAGAGAACAATGCTTTCTATCTCATTTTAATATGAATATGCAGAGGCTCATAGTTGTCTCTGCATATTGAAGCCATTCGTAGGTAGATCTTCTTTCGAAAAAGTGTGAACACTGTGGCTTTGTGGCACATTGTTTATGTCAGAGGTTTGACATGTCTTTTTGCTGAACCAATGATTTACTCAAGATATCTTCAAAGAAGCAAGCAAATATGAAAAATAATGGCTAGATTTGCTGATTACCTTAAATGTCAATAAATATCACTGTCAGTTCGTATTGCCATTAACACTTTCTTGAACGTGCGGATGCAATTGGCCTTTTTTGTTTCTTCAAGTGACCTTCGAAAAGCCTATAAATCAGGTCTGATTAAGGTCATTATAAGTGAATTAACACATTTTGACAAATCTTATAGTAAATTATTACTACAGTCTGATGAACGAATTAGTTCTGGTATGAAACTCTAGATGGCACAGACTGACATGTCCTTAATTTACATAGTGCAGCTGATTGGTTGCTGTTGCTTCAAATACTGGTAGCAGTGCAGTGTTTCTTCTAGAAACAGTTCCACCTCCCCAGCTCCACCTGTAGAGATCTGCAATGGGGATCTGCTATAATCCATGCTATTTTGCAGCAGCAGGAGCATGTGTTAAAGGCTCAAAGTAATGTCTGTGAATGTATTGGCAGCAGCACAGCAGATCTATTCTGCCAAGACCAAATACATTAACAATGCCATATCCATTACCATGCCAATCTCTCTGAGAGTTATCATGACAGAATTATAACGATACAAATGTGTTTAGTAGGCCTATAACTTGTAGTGCATTCCACAACAGTTGCTGTTATGTTCAAAGATTATGTAAAAGCATGTATGGTGCCAGGCTGCCAGCCTATATGCTAGATCAAGACCACATGGATATCTTTAAGCAAAATCTCTTGCACGGTTTTTCACCTTTTTTTAGTGTTGTGAAATGGATTGCATTTTTATTTTGTTGTTGTTTTTTACTACTTTCATTGGGAAACTGCTGCCATGTCGAACATGAGGATGAGGTATAGTGCGGTAATAAACCACAGATGTTATCAGCAGCTTGACTTGCTTGCTGGGGACTGCAGAGCTGTGTTTTCATCCTAAATCAAAGTTGCACAAACTCTGCATACTTTGTTTCCGTTTAAAATCGACACCTTGAGCGACTTCTGTTGGTTTCAGAACCGTAGCCTAGCCTACTCTTATCAGTTCAACTGCTGAAAACCTGAATTTCGTAATGTTATGTTGAAGGACGTTATGGAATTCAGATAATGTCTGTAGGCTACTATGTAATGATTGTACAGTACAATTAAAATACAAGCGTTGCTAAGTCTGCAGTCTTAACGCTTTACATCAGAGCGTCCGTTAACCGAATTGATGTCACCTGAAAATCTGATAACATCAGCAATTTTCATTTAACCAGCTGATTTCTGTAAATGACTGTAAAAAACTAAATTTATATTGCAGCACAGGGTGAAGTCAGTAGCCTATACATTAACGACAATTAAATGTATATTAAATTAGACAAATAAATGTAAATTTAATATGAAAGTAACGTTATGTAAATCGCGATCTGTGGCACGGCAGGATTTTGAGCCGTTGCTGGGCGCCGCAAATAGACGCCAAAGGGCGTCGCCGATGTGTGTGTACACTCATAGAGAATAATGTGTTCGGAATTTAAAGACATGGCGCTGCACTTCTTGTGCGATGTGCGACCCCTTTTAGGAAATCGACAACCCGGTCTCATCCCAAATCGTCATATAACTGACGTTTTGGGACGTCTTTTGACCATACGTCAATATTCGCCTTTTTAGGGCCCCCTTAAACGTCGGTAGATGAGGTTATGGGATCCTAACTCTACCCCATACCTAAACTTAACCCTAAACCTAACCCGTCACCTAACTGACGTTAAAGGTAAAGCGTCAGTTGTATGACGGCCCGGGATCGCCATCTACCGACGTTTAAGGGGGCCCTAAAAAGGCGGATATTGACGTATGGTCAAAAGACGTCCCAAAACGTCAGTTATATGACTTTTTGGGATGAGACTGTGTTAAAATCGACAGCGGCCGACACGAACACACACACCTATTTATTTGATAATAAAACCGTAAAGTACGCTAACACTATCGTTCAGGACAGCGCCACTTCTCACAAATACACCAACATGATTGGAGATCAAAGGTTTAAAGCATTAGTTCACTTAAAAAAAAAAAATAAAAAATAAAACTTTTGCTGTTAATTTACTCACCCCCTTGTCATCCAAGATGTCCATGTCTTTCTTTATTCAGTCGAAAAGAAATGAAGGTTGTAGATGAAAATATTACAGGATTTTTCTACATATAATGGACTTCCATGGACTCCACCAGTTTCAAGGTCCAAATGACAGTTTCAGTGCAGCTTCAAAGGGCTTTAAACGACACCAGACGATGAATAAGGGTCTTATGTAGTGAAACGATCAGTCATTTCAAAAATAAATAAAACATTTTAAGTTTTATAAGCACAAATGCTTGCCTTGCTCTGTTCTGTGATGCGCGTTCGTGACTCTCCTGTTCGAACTCATTCATCAAAATGAACAAATCTTTTTAGAGTCATTTCATGCATTTTGTTTGTTGAATGCATACATACACTAGATGTTGCCTTGGCTATGGCAGTTCATTAGAACGAATACGTTAGAGCCGCCATCTTGGAACAGGGGAGCCCCTCCACTTTAATGCATCAGCGTCAATGGAGACAAAGTTCTAACGGAAATAAAATCACCATAAATCATCATGAATTCGATTTTTTTGTTTTTTTTTGGTTCGTTCCATGTATTTATCATTGATTCAAGAAAAAAATTAAAACATTTTTTTTTTAAACATTCTTCCTATTTCAGATTTCATTCGTGTGAACATCATACACAGCACAAAAGTACGCCACCATACATTAATTCTAAGTAAAGGCAGAGAAAGCAACGTTACCTTGCTACTTCCTATGTGAAGACCCCTGTTCCAAGATGGCGGCGGTGACGTCTTGTGTATATGTATGCGTTGAATGAACGAAATGACTCGAAATGAAATGAATGAACGAAATGAAAAAGATTTGTCCATTGAAGTCCATTTATATGGAGAAAAATCCTGTAATGTTTTCATTAAAAACCTTAATTACTTTTCGACTGACATGGACATCTTGGATGATATTGGGGTGAGTAAATTATCAGTTTTTTTTTTAAAGTGAACTAAATAATTCTTTACTTGGCATGAAAAGTACATGTAAAGAAGTTTTTATCTGATAAACGCTGGGATTGGTGGATATGGAGCAGGCAACTGACCCAGACATAACCAATCACAGTGTGACAGACGCTTAACATAGCACCAACTGCAATGTTTATTTTTTTTTGAACGTAGCCTTCTGGCAGTCTAGCTCGGTATTTTCCATGGTTGATCGAGCCCCGGAGCACCCACGGTCTCGGCGCCTATGGGCAGCAGTGTGTGTGCTCCCTGTGCATGTATTTATCCTCTTATTTTTGAAAAGGGATGTTGTGAGACCCTGCAAAAGTACCTCAACACACTTGTTGGCATGTTAACTGGGTCAGTGCTGCAGAAACAGGAGCTTGTGGTTGTACCGATAGTACCTGAGAAAAAAAAAAAAAAAAACTATTACTGCTGATGTTCCTTATGACTGTTAATACTGAAAAAAAAGAGTAAGCATTGACATTTAAGAGAACAGCTAAAATAACCACTCTAACATTTAGTATATTTTAGTTGGAATTTCTCTGATCATTTGATAATGGCAAACACTATTTTTATTATTATTAAATTTCAGTTTTATTAAAAAAATATAACTGAATAATATTAAATTGAAAAAACAAAAGAGACATTACACAGATAAAAAATGTTTTCATTACTCCGAGTCACATCTACCTTACCTAATCTCATCTGAGCAAAACCAATCAGGTTAAAGGGGTGGGTTTCTATTGAAGGAAAACCACTTACTAACTTAGTCACATCACTTTCCAATTCAAAGAGAGAGAGAGAGAGCGAGAGAGAGAGAGAGAGAGAGAGAGAGAATCAAACGTGCTGTGAGTATCAAACATTTAATATTACTTTTTGATCTGCAATCTTTTGGATCACACAAACACACATACTGTACATATGTGAATATTTAATTTTATAGATCATTTTTAAAGATGAAGCATATGCTAATATTTTGATATTGATTTCCTCCTAAAAAAAGTTCTATTTCCCCAAAACGGTCTCAGGAAAATGACAGATCAAACTCGACTGGAATCTCAGACGATGCCAATGAATGACAGCGACACAAACCAGACTTGCGATGTTTTTGTCTACAAGGAGTCTGCTAGGATCCTCTTTCCCATTTTCTACTGCCTGATTTTTGTCATCAGTGTGGCAGGTAACAGCCTGGTCCTCTGGATCACCTGTCAGAAAAAGCAGAAGATGAACTCCACCACGATGTATCTGATCAACCTGGCCATCTCCGACACCCTCTTCACCTTGGCTCTGCCCAGCAGGATCACATACTACATCAGAGGCTTCGACTGGCCATTTGGAGATTTCTTGTGCCGGCTGACTGCCATGATTTTCTACAGCAATACCTATGCGAGCATCGCCTTCATGACCTGCATCAGTGTGGATCGCTACTTGGCCATGCTGCACCGTCAGCGCTGTCAAAGACTGAGGAAAACCAAGGTTGTGCGAGGGATCTGCACTCTGGTGTGGGTTGTGGTTCTCCTTGAGACGTCCCCGCTGCTCTTCAAGAGCACCATGGAAGACAGACCCGGTCATCGAACATGCATGGAGTTCTCCAATTTCGATGGCCACAAGATGGCATACGGTCTTCTGTTTGCTTGCGTCATTGGGTTTTGCGTGCCATTGGGACTCATCCTGTGCAGTTACAGCAGAGTCAGCTGCAAGCTCTACAAGACGGCCAAGGAAAACCCGGTGACCAACAAGTCTGGAAGCAACAGCAGGGCCAAAAATATGATTCTGCTCATTCTGCTGAGCTTCATGGTGTGTTTCAGCCCCTACCACATTAACATCATGCAGTTTGCAGTGAGAAGGCTATACAATGAGCCGTCTTGTGAGGAGTTAAAGACTTTGAAGATGTCCTTGCAGGTAACCGTTGCCATGATGAACTTTAACAGCTGCCTCGACCCTCTTATTTACTTTTTTGCCATCAAAACATACAAGCAGAGAGTGATGAGTCTTTTTAAGAGCTACATTTCCATTTCGGTATCTTCCAAGAGCATGCAGGAGAACAGCAGCAGTAACACATGAGGACCAATATTACACAAAGTAAAATCTGATTGTGTAAACTGCAGAGGAAATGGCTGCACACGTGTGGAAATGTGGTTGGATTGACTGCAGAGACTTGTTATCTTTTTTGGAGCAATTTTCTTTTTTCTTATTACTAAATGGGCTTGAATCCAAGGTATTTGATTTATTTGGGGATTTTTGACCACATTATGATTTTTCTAAGATCACTGACATACTCTTGTCTTTTAACACATTTTGTGAGGTAATACATATTTGTTAATGATTAAAGTGCTGTTGGATTCTCTTTTTGTAACTTGACTTTTTTAAAACAAAGATTAATGCTTATTGTTAGTTTATGTTAGTTATTGCATTAAGTAATTTTAACTAATCAGATCTTACTGTAAAGTGTTACCAGAATAAATAATTACGTGGAAAAGTCCCACATAAAGGTCAAGGAGGCTAGAAACCAATAGATGATTCTGAGTAAGAATTAGTGATGTAGGTGTATGTTAATAAGTACTGATGTTTCTTCAAGCTGCTGTTGAATTCTGCGTTTTGCTTTAAAGATGCTCACGATGTGTGTGTAACACATTGACCAACCCCAATAATTTTCCATTTGGGAATGTAATGCTTATGTAGCTGCTAATTGCTCTAAACAACTTTCTTTTGACCACTTTTTGAATACAAAAAAATTATAATAAAAAAAAATCATTATCAAGTTTTGTGTTTTGTATCATTATCATCTCAAAAAAAACGAATTTGCCCTTTAGTTATCAACCACTGGGAAAGCACAACGAGACTCAGAACACCACAACAAGAAGACACTTATCTAAAGTCAGAATCACATCTTCTTAGAATATCATGGCACTTGAGTCACTCTTTGCAGTTATATATGAAACAAATCAACTGAAACAGCGTTACTACGAAACAGCGATGACTTCACCATCAGACATTTCTGCGGGCAGCAGGGACAAAAAAGCGCACGGCAACACATGTTTGATGGGTGCATGTGGGTGTTAAACATACACATGGCAATGAGGTTCTTTTTCCTGCTTAATTTCAACTGAGCATCAGAACAGGATATCAACATAACCACAAGCACAAAAAGCGTCTTTTTAGCTGCTACAGGTGGTCTGATAGACTTTGTTGTGTATTCCATGAAGCTACGTGTCTATAAAAAAATGCGGAGAATGTGGCAAGCATGTAGCAGCCTACAAAACACAAGGATGTAGGTGGCATGTAATGTGGGTGGCAAATTGTCTTTGTAGAGAATGTATACTCAGAGTATAATATGAATTTATCAATGATCAAAAATAGGCACAACATATGCTAAAACATGAAATGAGGCAATACCACAATAATTCCTCAAATTCACACACCATAACCATCTATTTTTCCAAAATGCATGGTACAAGACACTCCTGGCAACAAAGTCAAAAGAACCGTACTAAATTAACCCCTAGGTGGATTTTTGGGTCAATCTGACCCCGTTTTTCATTTTCTTTCATTATCAAAAAAAAAAAAAAAAAAAAACATGGTTCCCTTCATCCCTTCATGGCATGAGGTTTTGTAACTTGTAACTAGCGACAGTATCCATATACACAAACAAATAAAATCTGGGTTTGATTTGATTGTTCTGAAGGTATGAAAAAAACCCCAGCTAACAGGGAACGTTCCCAGAACATTCACTAACGTTCTTTAAAAGTTGTGTAAATGTTAGGACAAAACGTTATTAAAATAATGTTTTCGGAACGTTCATATAACATTATTAACGTTCTTGTAACGTTGAGAGAAAACGTTCTTAGAACAACGTTCTTGGAATGTCTTTATCACGTTATTTGTATTTGATGAACGTTCTCATTACGTTGATAAAAAACGTTCTTAGAGCAACGTTATCGGAACGTCTTTATCAGGTTATTTGTGTTTGATAAACGTTCTCATAACGTTCCAGCAACATTATGCTAACCTTAGGATAACGTTCTAACAACATTATGCTACCGTTCCAGCAACATTCTGCAAACATTAAGACACCGTTCCAGCAACGTTAAGCAAACTGGACATTTCCACGTTTTTAGAACATTTTAAATTAACGTTCCCACAACCAAAATGGAACGTTAGAAAAACGTTCTCAGAACCTAACTTTGTTAGCTGGGAAGTCATAAAAACAACATACACATGGTCTTAAACATACACATGCAATGAGTTCTTTATCCTGCTTAATTTCAACTGAGCTTCAGAACAGGATATCAACATAACCACAAGAACAAGAAGTGTCTTTTTTTAGCTGCTACAGGTGGTCTGATAGACTTTGTTGTCTATTCCATGGTATAGACAACAATAAATTCCAATCAAAATGACCCCACAATGAAAATGAATGGGAAAGGTAAAGAAAAAAAAAAAAATTATTTTAAATAAAACCATCATGAATATGACCATCTCCACACATAAATAAAGGCCTGGTACTAAAGCATAAATGCAATGTGGAAATAACATTTTCACTTAAAGACACACGCGCACACACAAATACAACCCAACACACTGGTGTGACTGCAACACAACACAAACCAACAGCGATCTTTTTTTTAATAATAATAAAAAAACAACAACAATAAAATCAGTAAAATACAGTATCCAAAAATGTCCACACATAATTAAAGATTGATGCTGATTGTAGAGCAAAAGCAATGTGGAACGAAAATGTTCACTCACAAAAGATGACATGTTTATAGAAATAGGAAAATAAAGTCAATAAATCCAGCATAAATCCAAACATTTGGTACTAGAGCACAAATGCAATGTTTAACGAACATGCTTATGCACATGTACACACACACACACACACACGCGCGCACACACACACACACACACACACACAAACTTACGTGTGTTCACTCTTCACTCCTGTTCATATATCTTTATTGCTGGTTTTTATTGTTTTATTATTAGTTTTATTTACTTTTTATTATTAATATCTTATCCTGAAGTTAATGTTTTTAAATATTGAAATGAATAAAATGTAATTACAATCAAGTGTTTTAGTGGCAACTAATCTCGGCAAATGTGTGTGCCAATATTGCAAAAACAAACATTTCAAAAGACCTCAGACAACAACACCAAAAACAACAAATTCTAACCTTTGAAAAATACTTATTTTAATATATTTTATTATGTTTAAATATATATTCACAAAATATATAACAGAAGTTGTGAGAGGAGCAGTTGGCCACATCCAGAAAAATGAATGGATCTCTATGGGCCTCTGTTATAGTATTAACCACACACCTAATACACACCTAACCCTAACCAGCAGATGGCAGAATTCTGCCACCTAGAGCAATATCCAGAAATAACTCATATTTAATTTTGATTAACATTAAAGTGTTTTTTTTTTCATAAAAAATACCATTTCATAAGCAAACTAATTTTGTGGTAAATAGGTATGCCCTGAGGATGGTTGTATTACCGAAAGCTTGGCATTACATTTTGCTTGAAGGACTCAAGTGTGCAGACAATTTATTCTTTGAGTTGTCAAGTGTTATCTGTCTGGCACCTTGTTTGCCGTGAGTGGGGTGAAACTCTTTCATATTGTTAAATAGGTAGAAAAGAGAAGTAATTAACATTTACTCTACAATAATCATTCTATAAAAATAACCCCATAGATAGAAGAGTTAACTGTATGAGAACCAATAAAGGGTTAACCTGAAACTCATGAATATTGATGTTAAAGTGAATATAATTAAAAAATAATTATTGATATAATTGACATTATATTCAAATTCACATCTCAACCATAACGCTCCAGTCCTCAGTCTGAGCAAAGTGGTCTGATATTTTTTTTTCCCAATTGTGGTCTAATCTGTTTCAGATCAATCCATCTATAATTAGTAGATCTACATAAAAACAAAGCAAAGTTTATCATTCTCTTCCGGCCCAAGTGGCCTGTTTTTCACAGAATATGTTAATTAAAGAGACCACTTTTTCCTGTGCTCAGACAGACAATAGGAGCATTATGGTGGAGGCGTGATTGCAGCAAAGAACAGATGAAGAGGGTGTTTACATAGAAAAAGTGCAAAAAACTTTCAGTTCAATTAGTGGTCAGAGAAGGGTGGAAAATATGAATGTAAAACTAAATTATGTGACTTTATTACGTGGAATTTTTTTTTTTAAGATTTAATGGATAGATTCGCTGAGGTTCAGAAGACGTCACAGGCTATGAAGCACTTCTTACCAAAGCGCTCTAGCTTTGCAGCAGATCGCCCAAAACAGCCGTCTGCTTGAAGCTCCCAGCCACAGCCACAGCCTCCATCCTCCGCCGCTTCACAGCGCCATCAAGCCTGGGACCAGATACCATGCTCTTGCTCTCCCCTTCGTGTGGGCCCGGCAAAAGATTGAGATAAACCCCAAAGCCTTAAAGTCTTGCTAGTCCTCCTAGGAAAACAACAGTGTTTAAGTCTCACCACGGCCAGACTTCCACCGAAACTTTTCGCTCCTTCAGTTCCAGAAAATGTGACTGTTCCAGTGCCGGTAGCATGGCCCACTTTCCTGAACACAAATGCCGTTTCCATGGTGATCCAGATATCACATAAACAGTGTAATTTCTGGTATTCCGGCCACAGCCGATGGTGTTATGAGTGTAATAAAAATGTCCACTGCCCAGTGTTCATATGAAGAGTTCAGATGCAAAAGCCTCTAAATTCCATTTGAAATTTTCTTCTTTAATGATAATTTTTATCAAACTTGTATTTTTAAGTTCAGTAATTTCACTTAAATGGCAATGATAATTACCTATTAATTGTTATTTAAGTGAAATTACTGAACTTAAATTTACAAGTTTGATAAAAATCATCATTAAAGAAGAAAATTTCAAATGGCATTTAGAGGCTTTTGCATCTGAACTCTTCATATGAACACTGGGCAGTTCAGGGTTCAGGGTACAGTTCAGGGCTCGCTCAAATAAAATCAACTCATGTCAATTGTCCATTAAATGAGGTGAATGTGCCCACAACCCACAACAGCAGTGCTCACAAACACGCCTCTCTCGCTCTCTCTCTCAGCAAACTGCTATAAGGGAATCGAGCACGGTCAGGCTGCCCGCCACACGGCGCAGGTCGAAACTAAGTTAAAAACCGAAGTAGCCCATCTACTTCGAGCTGAAATGATGAAACTGCTGAGCAAAGGTATATACAGCAGATATTTTCTGGTACAGAAAAAAAATGGAGGTTTCAGACTCATTCTAGATCTAAGACAGGTGAACAAAGTGCTTGTGAAACGCCAGTTCAGAATGCTCACAACCAGGAAAATCCTCGCTCAGATTTGTCAAGAAGTCTGGTTTATGTCAATAGATCTGAAGGACCCCCAAATACAAATAGCGTCACGTCACAGGCGATTCTTGAGATTGGCCTTCGAGGGCCAGGCATATCAATACACAGTCCTACCGTTCGGCCTGTCTCCAGCACCCCGTACATTTAGATTGTGCATGGATGCAGCTCTTGCATCCGTGAAACTTCGGGGCATGCGTGTTTTGAACTACTTGGACGATTGGCTGATTCTAGCTCGATCACACTCAGAGCTCATAGAACACAGGACCATATTACTCAAACATCTCAAATGGGTGAAAATTTGCTGTCTCCCAGTCAGAAAATATCTTTCCTGGGCCTAGAACTGAACTCGAACTGTCTGACACCGCGACTGTTGCCAGAGTGCAGACTGAACATTCAT